AAGCGCTTCACACGATACACTGTAAAATGTAGTGACTGTGTATTTTGTGGGCGAAACGTGGCGGCCAATTGTGCACAGCAGCGTCCCCACAAACAGCCGTGGATTGAGTGACCACATTATTATTATTATTTTATTTGGAGGGATTTTTACCCCTGGAAAAGCGATCCCCCAATCGACTAACAACCTGGTTCCTACTTACTGCTGGTATACAGAGGCGTGTGTGTGCGTGGAGTAAGGAAACTTGCCTAAGATTTTATCCCACCCGGGAATAATAGGTGTTCATAGCATCGCAATGCTGGACATTCCACAAGTTTTATACTCTCTCTCTCTCACTCTCTCGTTCTTTCTCTCTCACACACATTCTCTCTCTCTCTCTCTGTTCAGACTGTGACTTACATAACTGCTGCAATTGTGCAAGGAGGGAACTGGGAGTTTATTGAGTGAGTCTTTCTCACCAACAAACTGACTGATGCATATCATTAGAGCAGCAGTCTCTCACTCTCAACATCACAGACACCCAAGACAGACAGATTTGGAGGAGGGGAAATGAACTGGATGATAATAATAATAGTGATATTAATAATAATAATAATCTTTATATTTGATACAGCTCCTTATCACGTCTTTGGGATGCCTCAAAGCTTCATGGGAGAGACTATCGCAATTAATGCTGTGTGGAATTCCACAGAGCACAATCCAACACTTCCATAACATGTCTCACTTGATGGTTTTCCCCAGATCACCTACAGAAGCCATTGCAATGCCTCCTGTGCTTTTCACCCCTAGGGCTGCAGCGTGATCAAAGCCTCGCTCCGAGGCCCTCACCCTGAGACATTCCCAGCAAACCTGCTTCACACGGACACAGCACAGACCAGCACGATCTAACGAGGCCGCAAATTGGAGTCCCTGTAGCTCAGGGGTTAGAGCCCTCGCTTCGCAAGCAAGAGGAACTGGGTTCAATTCCCGGACAGGTCAGGGTGAAACCTTAGGCAATAAGACCATAAGACGTAGGAGCAGGAGTCGGCCATTCGGCCCCTCGAGCCTGCCCCGCCATTTAATAAGATCATGGCTGATCTTCTAACCTAATTCCACTTACCCGCCCTATTCCCATATCCCTTAATCCCTCGATCCTTTAGAAATCTATCAACCTCAGTCTTGAATATGTTCAAGGACTGACTGCGCATCCACAGCCTCTGGGGTAGAGAATTCCACAAATTCACTACCCTCCGAGTGAAGAAATGTTTCCTCACCTCATTCGAAAAGGCTGACCCTTAATCTTGAGACTATGACCCTAGTTTTAGATTCTCCAACCAGGGGAAAAAGTGTCACGGCATCTACCCTGTAAAGACCCTTAAGAATCCTATAGGATTCTCTAAACTCACCTCTAATTCTTCTATATTCTAGAGAATATTGGCCTAGTTTACTCAACCCATCCTCATAGGTCAAACCCCTCATCCCAGGAACCAACCGAGTGAATCTACGCTGCACCCCCTCTAAGGCGAGGATGTCCTTTCTTAAATAAGGAGACCAAAACTGCACACAGTATTCTAGGTGCGCCTTATACAACTGCAGCAAGACTTCCCTACTCTTGTACTCTAAACCTTTTGCAACGAACACCAACATGGCATTAGCCTTCCTAGTTGCTTGCTGTACCTGTAAACTAACTTTTTGTGACTGGTGAACGGACACCCAAATCCCTCTGAACACTAAAACTACCCAGTCTCTCCCCCTCTAGAAAATAACCTGCTCTTGTAATTTTACTGTGAATAACTTCACACTTCCCCACATTATACTCCATCTGCCACCTTCTTGCCCACTCGCCTGGCCTGTCTATTTCCCTTTGCATTCTTTGTGTGTCATCCTCACAGCTTGCTCTCCCACCTATCTTTGTATTGTCCGCAAACTTAGATATAAGTTTTATTTCCTCACTTAAATCATTGATATAGACTGTAAATAATTGAGGCCCAATCACTGATCCTTGTGGCACTCCACTAGTCACATCTTGCCAATCTGAGAAGGACCCGTTTATCCCTACTCTCTGTTTTCTTCCTGTTAACCACTCTCCAATCCATGCTAATATATTGCCTTTAATTCCATGGGCTCTAATCTTGTTACCGCCTTTTATGTGGCACCTTGTCGAATGCCTTCTGGAAATCCAAATATACCACATCTACTGGTTCCCCCCTATCTAACCTGCTAGTTACATCCTCAAAAAACTCTGTAAGGTTTGTTAAACATGACTTCCCTTTCGTAAAGCCATGTTGACGCTGCCTAATCATGTTGTGATTTTCTAAGTACCTCACGACTACGTCCCTAATTAAGGACTCTAGTATTTTCCCCACCACCGATGTCAGACTGATTGGTCTATAGTTCCCCATTTTTTCACTCCCACCCTTCTTAAAGATCAGTGTTACATTTGCGATCTTCCAATCAATGGGAACCATTCCAGAATCCAGGAAAATTTGGAAGATCAAAAACAAAAGCATCACTATCTCAGCAGCCGTCTCTTTTAGAACCCTGGGATGCCGGCCATCAGGTCCAGGGGATTTATCGTTTTTTAATCCTATCAATTTCTCTGGTACTATTGCTTTACTGATGTTCATTTCTTTAAGTTCCTCACTAACAGAATATGCTGTAAAGTGAATTGACTGTATATTTGTGGGTGAAACGCAGCAGCCAATTGCGCACAGCAGTATCCCACAAACAGTAAATGAAAATGACCAATTTATTATTCTTTTTGTTTTTTGGAGTAAGGAAACTTGCCCGAGGTCTCGCCCTCTGCCTGGAATTGAACCCAGGTGTCTCGCTTGCAAGGCGAGTGCTCCAACCACTGAGCTACAGGACTCAATGGACTAATTGAAATGATGATGATGACTCTGCCATTTCTTTATTCCCCATTATAATTCCTCCTGACTCTGCCTGCGATGGACCCACATTCACTTTTGATAGTCTCTTCCTCTTTACGTACTTCTAAAAACTCTTACAATCTGACTTTCTGTCCCTCGAGAAGTTTACTCTCATATTAGATTTTCTCCCTCTTAATCAGTTTCTTGGTTTTCCTTTGCTGATCTCTAAAGTCCTCCCAATCCTCAGGTTTACTGCTATTTTTGGCAGTATTATAGGTCTCTTCTTTTAATTTTATACTTTCCCAAACTTCTCCAGTTACCCGGGGTTGAACCACTTTTCCTGTGGTATTTTCAGTTTTCAAGGGAATAAGTGATCGCTGGGAATTATGTATTATATCTTTAAACATTTGCCGTTGCTGGTCTACTGTCATTTTTTATCTAATTTCCCAGTCTATTTTAGCCAAATCTTCTCTCTTACCTGCAACGTTGGCTTTATTTAGACCCTTGCTTCGGATTCAACTATATCACTTTCTAACTTCATGTTAAATTCCAAGTTTCCTTACTCCACACACACACACACACACACACACATACATACACACATACACACACACACACATACATACACACATACACACACACACAGACACACACACACACATACATACACACATACACACACATATACACAGACACACACACACACAGACACATACACACACACATACATACATACACACATACACACACACATACATACACACATACACACACACACACACAGACACACATACACATACATACACACATACACACATATAGACACATACACACAGACACATACACACACAGACACACACACACACACATACACACACATACACACATACAAACACACACACACAGACACACACATACAAACACACACACACACAGATACACACACACACAGACACAGACACACACACACACAGACACACACACACACGCCTCTGGTTACTCAGCAGTAAGTGGGAACCTGGTTATTAGTCGATTGGCGGATCGCTTCCTGAGGTAATAATCCTTTCCAAATAAATAAATAAATAATAATAATTTGGTCACTCAATCCATGACTGTTTGTGGTGACGCTGCTGCCGTGTTTCGCCCACAAAACATTCAGTCACTACACTTTACAGTGTATCCTTTGAAGCATTGGAGACGTCTCGAAGACATGATGAGGTGTTGTATCAAGTGCAAGAATTATTATTATTAAATTTCCCACCTTAGACAAAACTTACAAGTTGTAACCCTAACCCTACCCACTCTGCCTTTTTTCTTTCTCTGTCCCTCCCTCTCTCTCCCCCGCCCCCCCCCCCCTCTCTCTCTCTCTCCCTCCTTCCCTCTCTCTTTCACGGAGTGTCCCATTTGCCAGAGTTGTTAGAGCTTTAACCTTCCAGGGCCTTGGGCGCTGGACTTTATTACCCAAAAAAAGCAAACAAAACTGTTCAGGAGCCTGGCCCCCCTCCCCCTCCCCCTCCCCTCAGTGCCCCTCAGTGCCCCTCAGAGATCAGTGTAAACATGTGGATTCCCGTGTAACACAGTGGCTGCCCTCGCTCGAACAAGTACTTTAATCCAGAGCTCCCCGTCCCTGCCCCCTGTTCAGTTCAGTTCAGGTCAGCGTGAGAAACAACTGGAGTCCTGTAGCTCAGGGGTTAGAGCCCTCGCCTCGCAAGTGAGAGAGGACCCGGGTTCAATTCCCGGGCGGGTCAGGTCAGGGCGAAACATTGGGCAAGTTTTCTTACTCCACCGCCCCCCCCCCACACACACACCTGTTTACCAGCAGTCAGTAGGAACCCGGTTGTTAGTCGATTGGCGGATCGCTCTTGCGGGGTTAATAATCCCTTCCAAAAAATAATAATAATAATAAATTGGTCCCTCAATCCACGGCTGTTTGTGGGGACACTGCTGTGCAATTGGCTGCCGTGTTTCGCCCATAAAATATATAGTCAATTCCCTTTACAGTGTATCCTGTGAAGCGCTTTGAGACGTCTCGAAGACCTGATGAGGCGCTGGGTCAAGGGCGAGGATTACCATTGATTATTATTATTTGTCCCGTCACCATCATTGCCCGGTGTCCGGCTGTAAGAACGTAGGGATGAAATGAGAGACACTCACAGTTTCTCCAGAGCGTAGAGTCCCAGGAAAGAGTCATTCTTCAGGACCACGATCTTGTTATTGCTCAGTATCCTGTGAAAAAACATAGATGAGCCAAAAAAACACATGTTTCAGTAAGTCACTGGCTGGTGCCTCAGTAAGTTAGCCCCACATGCTGTGTGGTCTCCTGTACACACTCGATCTCAAAGCAGGAGTTTAAACACTTTTACAGGATGAATTTTATCGCCCCATATCCCTTAATACCTTGACCTATCAAATGTCTATCCACCTCAGTACCCCAATTCCAATTACCCCCGCCTTTGCCCCGTAATTCCTTGATCTCCTGACCCAACAAATATCCATCCACCTCAGTCTTGAAGATGTGAATGGATCCAGCCATAATCTACAGCCTTTTGCAGAAGAGAGAGAGAGAGTGTTTCACTAAGCCTTTGGGTGAAAAACTGCCTCCTAATTTCACTCCTAAATGGTCTGGCTCTAATTTTAAGATGATGCCTCCCCCCTGTTCTGGATTCGCCCCCCCACCACCCACCAGAGGAAATAGCTTCTCACCAGAGGTATGTTGGAAATGTAACCAGTTAAAACCATGTAGTTTGCTTCTGCAAACACTTCTGGTAATCTCTACTGTGAACAACAACAACTTGCATTTATATATGGCATCTCCTTCCCTCACGTGGGGTTGTGTCCTGGAGCGCTTGATGGTGATGGAGTCTGACCCCAGAGCCAGAGGGAAGAGGTGACCGTAAGCACAATCGAAAAGGATGGTCTTCAGGCGAGATGAGAAGGTGGGCAGGGAGAGAGGGGGCTAGGCAGAGGGGTTGAGAGAGAGAGAGACAGACAGAGTTTTGGTGCGTAGTGGCTGAAGGCACGGCCACCGATGGAGGGAACGAGGGGCGAACAGGATATTTATTATCATAAGTTTTTCCCCAGGCCCTCGTGAATCAGCCCGATATCTGTGCTTGAACAGGCCCCACTGAGGCCCTTTCAACAAATCCTGTTGTCGACTTCATTATGTCTCCCTGTGTAAACAGTTCTGCTGACTGGCCCCATGAAAAGCGAAAGGCCTGAGATGCTGTCGGGGGTGGAGAGAGAGAGAGAGGGGAGACAGGAGAAGGCCAATGTCAATCGCAGTTCAAAGCAATTAACCCAAATGTCCCTGTGAGGTCCTCTGGATTAATCTGCAACGGAGCATTGCGATGGAGTTCCATTCTGGGCCATTGTGCTCTGACTAAACTGCCATCAGGCTGACACTACCACTAATAATATTAATAATAATCCTGGCATTTGACACAGCGCCTCATCACGTCATCGTGATGTCTCAAAGCGCTTCACAGGATACACGGTCAAGCGGAGTGACTGTGGACGAAACTCGGCAGCCAATTGCGCACAGCAGCGTCCCCACAAACAGCCGTGGATGGAAGTTACCCAATTTTCTAAGGGATTATTGTCTCCGGAAAAGCGATCCACCAATCGACTAACAACCAAGTTCCTACTGACTGCTGGTAAACAGAGGCGTGTGTGTGTGGGGTGTGTGTGTGTGTGTGTGGGGGTGGGGTGGGGTGGGGGTATGTGTGTGTGGGGTGTGTGTGTGTCGGGGGGGTGTGTAGTGGGTGGGGATGTGTGTGTGGGTGTGTGTGGGTGTTGGGGGTGTGTGTGCGCGTGTGTGTGTGGAGTAAGGAAACTTGCCTAAGGTTTTGCCCTGACCTGACCCGCCTGGGAATTGAACCCGGGTCCTCTCGCTTGTGAGACGAGGGCTCTAACCCCTGAGCTACAGGACTCCACAATTCAGTGCTTTGGGGGTGGGGGGGAAGCTACAATATTGGGAGGTGCCACCCTTCGGATGAAGCCTGTTAGGGTTGACATTAAAGATTCCGCGCGACTATTGCGGGGAAAAAAAGGGGAGTTTCTCCCAATCATGGATAATTGGTCATACACTTCACGGGAGTTTTTTTGAGGGGGGGTGGGAGTGGGGGAGGGGGAGCGTTGCTGTGTAAAAAATTACCAAAGGCCTGGTCGAAGAGGAAGGTCTTTAGACGGGACTTGAAGCGGGTAAGAGAGGGGGTGAGGCGGAGGGGTTGCGGGATAGAGACCCGGCGGGGGGTGGGGGAGGGGGGGCAGAGATGCCGAGCGGAGGGACCGGACAGGGTGGGAAGGAACTCGCTTCAAAAAGTGAACTAAAAAACAGATGCTTGTTAACTTAGGGCTTGGAGGCAATAAACACAAAGAGATTTGCGCTGTGGGGTGAGGGGGGCAGGGAAACTGCCGTGTTGTTAAGTGTTGTACCAGATGGAGGGTATAAATCAGGAGGTACAGACTGCACTGTAGCCCTCAAAAGGAAATCAAAAAGGCCTCTCTCTCTCTCTCTTTCTACTCAACCGTTTCTCTGTTCGTTGCTCCTTCGAGACTTGAAATTCCACTTAGACTGTTCTGCTGCTTAATCACCTCAAAATGCACCTCGACTGCACCCCCTTTACAATGTATCCTCTGTAGCTAAACATACCACAAAATACATATTATTATAATAATAATTTGGCCACTCAATCTATGGTAGTTTGTTGGGACTGTTTCTGGCTGCCGCGTTTCACCCACAAAATGTACAGTCACTGCACTTTACAGTGTACCCTGTGAAGCGCTTTAAGACGTCTCAGAGACGCGATCAGGCGCTGTGTCAAATGCGAGGATTATTGTCATTATTTGGTACATCACGTCATCGGGACGTCAATATAAATTGTAAAGACTGTGTATCTTGTGGGATGTTTGCCGACAGAATACACTTCACAGTAAGTCCTTTGACTTTCTTTGAGACGTCCTCCTGATGTGAAAGGCGCAGTGACGACGACAACAACAACAACTTGCACAGTCGCTGGCACCTCCCTTCCTCTCTGACCTGCTCACTTCCCCCAACCCCACAGCCCACTACCTCCACTCGACTGGCCCCGGCCTCCTGTTTGCCCTCATGCCTTATGTGCTGTGAGCCACTACACCCCAAAGCTCTACCACTCTCTTTCTATCCCTCCGCCTTGGCCCCTTTCCTTCCCCATCTGCAGGTTGTGCCTGAAGACCTTCCTCTTCGACCGGTGCCTGCGGTCACCTCCCCCACTCTCCCTCCCCCCGGCTTGGCGTCAGGCTCCGCTACAGTCAAGCGCTCTGGGACACTACCCTGGGCCCTGGGTGAGGGGTGGGGGGGGGGGGGGGTGCTGTGTCATAGAAAATTGCTGCTTGTCCAGTCCCATCAAGAAGAACCCTCAAAGGTCTGGGTGGGAGCAGGGAGTAGGGAGGGATTGCAGGAGTCAGGTCACGGAGAAGACACACGGCCCCGAGTCTTTGATGGGCCCTGTTCCTCCCCGCTCTGTGCTATGATTCAATGCCCACAGCGTGCACTGGGCGAGCGAGCAGTCTGATAAGGGCGCTATCGACATCAGACAATCTCCATTTGAGGCAAGAAATACAAGCTGACCCAGACCTCGCCTCACTGGTAATGATCCCACATCAAGGAGAAGCTCTTGTCATCTGTAGAGCAGCCATAACCCATATATAGGCATGAATTTATGTGATCCAACCCAAGGGCAAAATAGTTGGGTTTTTTCTCTCGAAGGAGGAACAAAAAACCCTCCCATTAGCTGTGAGTTATTGGGACAAAAAGTCAAGGGATGAAGAGTTTCTGGGCCTTTTCCTTTGGCTTTCCCCAAGATTGAACCCCCCCCATGACTGTAATGGACATCTTTCTTGCCGGCTCCAGTTAAGTCAAGCCTTCCAACAGCAGAGGAGACACTGGTTTGTGGGGTAGGAACCCTTCATCATTGATTCCCCCCTCCTCACTGCAGAGCGATGAAGAGGATGATATTCGCTGCTCAACACCAAGGGCTGGCAAGGATTTCCCTCGCCCTTAAGAGCAGAGCTATCATCCCTGTAGCTCAGGGGTTAGAGCCCTCGCCTCGCAAACGAGAGGACCCGGGTTTGATTCCCGGGCGGGTCAGGTCAGGGCGAAACCTTGGGCAAGTTTCCTTACTCCCCCCCCCCACACACACACACCCACACACACGCCTCTATTTACCAGCAGTCAGTACGAACCCGGTCATTAGTTGACTGGCCGATCGCGTAATAATCCCATCACAAAAATAAATTGTTCACTCAACCCACGGCTGTTTGTGGGGACGCTGCTGTGCGCAATTGGCTGCCGCATTTCGCCCACAAAGTACACAGTCACTACACTTGACAGCATATCCTGTGAAGAGCTTTGAGACGTCCCCAACTGCCCCACCATCGGTGGCCTTCAGCCTCTCAGCCCCGAGGCTCTGGAACTCCATCCCCAGTGCCTTCGCCGCTTCCTCCCTTTCCTCCTTCAGGGCTGTGTCTCAAGACCTTTCTCTTTGACCTTCAGCCTTCAGCTCCGCTCTCGACTCTCTACCCCCTCCTCACACACTCCCTTCCCTCCCCTCACCCCCTCCCTCCCCTCCCCTCACCCCCTCCCTTCCCTCCCCTCACCCTGACCATTTCCCCCCTCCTCGCTCCCTCCCTTCCCTCCCCTCACCCTGACCATTTCCCCCCTCCTCGCTCCCTCCCTTCCCTCCCCTCACCCTGACCATTTCCCCCTTCCTCGCTCCCTCCCTTCCCTCCCCTCACCCTGACCATCTCCCCCCTCCTCGCTCCCTCCCTTCCCTCCCCTCACCCTGACCATTTCCCCCCCCTCGCTCCCTCCCTCCCCACCCTGACCATCTCCCCCTCCTCGCTCCCTCCCTCCCCTCACCCTGACCATCTCCCCCCTCCTCGCTCCCTCCCTCCCCTCACCCTGACCATCTCCCCCCTCCTCGCTCCCTCCCTCCCCTCACCCTGACCATCTCCCCCCTCCTCGCTCCCTCCCTCCCCTCACCCTGACCATCTCCCCCCTCCTCGCTCCCTCCCTCCCCTCACCCTGACCATTTCCTCACTGCTCAGGTCCCAACCCAACTGTACAGCGCCTCGGGATGTCCTCCCGACGTGAAAGACGCTCTATAAATGGAATCTTATTGTTATTGTTGTCTCGAAGACGTGATGAGGCGCTGTGTCAAATGCGAGGATTATTATTGTTATTACTG